TGACTGGTTTTACTTGGTTCACCAGTGACCTTCTCTTTGTCAAATATTGTGGAAATCTTTTAGTCCTTGTCTTAACTTCCCTACAGTGTTTAACTTTATTGATCACTTTTTCCTTCTTAGAACATTTTGCTTTTGGAAACCTTAACATGCTCCTTTGTCCCCTAACCTTTGCCATCTGCATTCAAGAGCAGGTTGAATAGAAAACAGGAGCTAGTCCCAGGCTGTATCTGCTTCCGTGTTGCCATAGGCACAATATGGCAAGGTGGAGTTTTTCTACTTGCTACCTAATGGGCTTACTGTGAAGAAATCATCTATCATTAAAACTAGACCTGAATATGATTTTAATAAAATTATCTTGCTGCAGTTATATATGATCCATAAATATATGTGGATGTATATATACATAAATTTACTATATTAAGACATGTAAGGGGTCTGAAATTTTCCCCTTCTTACAAGCTAACAAGTTATCCTGGACAACTTCATGGGATGATGTTTGAAGTTATGAGAGCCCTGGGTCAGAACCAAAGGTCAGTTCATTAATATAATAGTAGTAGCCAGAGTTTCTACAGTTTTAGACCTAGTTCTGAGTGTTACTTCCTACAGAGCAATGTCAAAAGGGCCAAATGATATCTCACAGCAGTGGATTTGGTCATGTTCTAGTAGAGAAAACCTGAGCTTTGGAATTCTGGATCCTTTATAATGGATAATAAATAAGCATGTCTGCCCTTTGTTCTAGAGCAGTGGTTCTCAACCTGTGGGTCTTGAAAGGAACTGTATTAAAGGGTCGCAGAATTAGAAAGGTTGAGAACCACTGTTCTGGAGGGAGACATTATTCTATTGAACAGTAAGCAAACCTATCCTTTTCTCTAAAGGTAGCCTAATATCTTTATCTTTGAATATTATTGAGTATATAAACATCTTTCAAAGGATAGTCCAGAACAAAGGACAGTCACTGCTTTGCTTCACAGGGCATGCTGAAAAGTGAGTGAGGTGTGGAAACTTTTCAATATATGGTAGCATCACCGAATGAATTCCTTTTGCCCCTAAGTATTTGTTGCTTAACATAATGAAGTTTTTAAAATGTTGTTTTAAGTAATTTAAGGCATAGAATAAATAGTATGTGCTTTTTTTGGCCCAATTTCAATTTCATAAAATAAATTAAATGGCTTCTCTGAATAAAATCCTTTGATGATGTCCTATTCCTTTTAGATCAAAACTGAATCTTACCATGGCCTGCAAGATGTGCTAGGTGTGACTCTTGCCTAACTCTGTGACCTCATCGTGTTCTACTTTCCTCGCTATGCTGTGCCCACAGTGCCATTCTTTTATTTTAGAATACAAAACATTGTTTCCCTACATCTCCGAGCCTTTGCATTTAGTATTTCCTTTCTCAAACACTTTTCCCTTTCTATTCCCTTGGGTTCCTCCTTCTCATCATTTATGTCTTAGTTCAAAATCATGTCTTTACATCCTCAATAGCTTTAACATAGCTCTATCAGATACCCCATTCCACCTGTTACTGCTTTGTATCTTTATTATATTTATTTCCATATGAAATTATCTTACTGATTTATTTGCTTGTATAATGTCTATATCCCCTGATTAGGTGATAAGTTCTATAAAATCAACCACTTTTTCTTTGGTCTCATTTATTACTATATTTCTAGGACCTACCTGATATGTACTAGGCACACAGATAATGTTAAATGAATTAATGAACAAGTAGAAGGAATGTGCTAAAAGATTGCCTTATCAAATAATATTAGTATCAATAACAGTCTTGCTCTGTATTCATTTGTATTGCTATATGTAGCCATGTTAAAGCTACTTCAGATATTTGAAAACTAATTATAGCTTTTAGGTCATTTAGTCCTTTTTGCAGTTTTTTTTTTTGGCCGGGGCTGGGTTTGAACCCACTACCTCTGGCATATGGGGCTGGTGCCCTACTCCTTTGAGCCACAGGCACTGCCCCATTTAGTCCTTTTTGGTTGACAAATGCTAAAAAGAGATTAAGATGCATGAAGGCATCCAGAATCACTTTTTGGGTAAGTTTTCTCAGGAAAGATGCTATCATAACATAAAAGGACATTCTTATTGAAGTTTTTGACAGCCTATTTTTTACTTAGGTAATAAAATACCCCCATTGTATTGAATATGAAAGTTAACAATTGTCTTTATTCAAAGTAGTGGAATTAATGGAACCACCATTCAATATTTTAGATGTACAGTGGGAGAAATCACAGATGCCCTGAAAAAGGTCTTTGGTGAACATAAAGCTAATGATCGTATGGTGAGTGGAGCTTATCGCCAGGAATTTGGAGAGAGTGGAGAGATAACATCTGCTATTAAGAGGTAATGTGAGATTTCTTAAGCAAGAGTTTCATCTTTTTTGTTAACACAATCCCCTTGAATTTTCTCACATACAATTTAGAAAATATTTCAATTGGCTTTCCTGTTAGTCTGTAGTTCTAATAAAACTAACAAATAGTAAATTAAATATTTATTATTATTTATATTATACATAATATATGACATTTAACCCACAAATAGAGGGTGGCCATAAAATTTGTGTGTAATTTAATAGTGTGCAATTTAAAATCGCACATGAACTTTATGGACACCCTGTATATATAATTTATTAAATAGTATATTTTATATATGTATATCATTCAACTGATGACATATGTATTTACTGATTAATAAATGTTGAATTCAGTATTAAAACAAATAATATTAGTTTTCATAAAATTAATATTTTGAACTTTTACCATCGTCCCCTTTCATAGTTTCTTATTTCAAACCAATGTTTAACAATGAAATTGCCTCAAATCCTCCAGGTGTTTAGATTTCAGTCAGTTTACTATGATAGACTTTCATAGTCTCTTAAATTTGTTTACATTACTTAAATTATAAAATCTTAATTTTCCTAATTGAAAGTAAACATTTATTTGGTATCTCTGCATAAATTAAAATTCGTTTTTATGGTACTAATAATAAATAAAACTTCCATAGCAAGACTTGGAATATAGATTAATGTGATCAAGTTTCTCTAGTGTAAAAGCTGCTTTTTGGTGATTGATCTTCTCAACTTTTATAACAAACTTCCCATTAAAACTTTTATGTTAGTACATATATATATATATAAGGTAAATATTAAAATAGCCAATATGAAAGTCATCACAATGGAATTTTTTTCCAACAAAAATAAGTGCTTTTTCACATTGGATGAAAGTTTGTCAATTTAAGCAAGCAAACATTTTAATTATGCATCATTACAAGAAATCATACTGCAGTCAGCTTGGGGGAGTTTACACTTGTACCCCTTGTGTAGGGTAGGTGAGATATGGACAATTCACAGCAGCTAGTTGGTCACATCCAAGTATAAATGACTCTGCATATTGTATTCTGTAGATAGGCTCAGGAAGGTGGCAAGTTGTTATTTTTTCATCTTACTTAACTGTGATGTTTTCAGTGTTATATGCTTATAGGCTGTGCCATCTTTCCAGCTTTTGGTAAACATATTCAGGTTTTAATGGAGCTCCCAATGTAAATTAGAGATATTACCAAAATATAAGTAAACACATCAAGTATTTTTAATTAAACTTGTAATGTGTGTGTGAATGAATTACAGTTTTTACATTTTACCTGTGAACGATTAATACTTAACTACTATTGAATTTTAAAATGTTTTCTTAGGGTTCATAAATTCATGGACCGTGAAGGTCGCAGACCGCGTCTCCTTGTAGCAAAAATGGGACAAGATGGCCACGACAGAGGAGCGAAAGTCATCGCAACAGGATTTGCCGATCTTGGTTTTGATGTGGACATAGGCCCTCTTTTTCAGGTATTACATTCAGGTATTATTTTTCACTTACATTTAGAAAAAGCAGTAAAATGGAGATACGCCATGTTTTGAGATTTATAAAGGAAGAACATGTTTAACACATTCTCTATTTTGAATGCATGCAGTCCAATTAATTGTAACAGAAATAAAACACATATAAAATATAATTCATATTTCAGGCTTCGTGAAAGTAAATGTCAGTTCAGAACTAAAACTTTTTATTAGGCCACTGTGAAGATGACTTTCAAAGCTCTTATTGTGCATTGTAGTAAGATTTGACTAATATTTTGTGGGAAAGATAAAGATAGCCCACAAGGGATTTATGGAAATTGTTTTGAAAAGAAAAACACACTTTAGACATCAGTGTGAACTACATTCATAAGTCAGTTTTCTCTTTTTAAATTCTCTAGTATTCTTTTATTAAATCCTGACAGGAAAATAATTTGTTGGGGGTAAATGAAGCTGACATTACTGATTCTCCTACAATGAAATCTGGCTAAAAAGTACTTTGTAATACATTTTCCATTAAAGTCTTTATCTATTACATATTTATTGATCCAGGTCCTAGGCTCTCAGTTTAGTAATGTATGATTTTGTCCTTAGGGAGGGTACAGTATCCTAACAGAGACAGATTTGCTTACTAGTAATTATAACCGAGTACAATAATTACTATAATTAAGGTATGGACAAGGAGGGTACTTCACTTGTTTAAAGCGTCCTGGGAACTTTTGAGCTGTGCCTTTCACTTTCTAGCAAAATCACTTTCTGAAGTGGATTGGGAGGAGCTGTGATTAGATGCAAGGAGTCTGGGTAGGACAAAGGAAGGGAAGCAAATAAGGCAACGCCCGGGTCTCAGCAGAAACCATCTAGTTGGAGTTTGAAGATAACTTAATGAAGAGGCTATTAACAGTTAGAAAGGCAGGATTAATCAGCAAGGAATAGACAGGAATCTAAGAATTAAATTTCTAAGAATTTCAAAGCCAGTTATTTCACAACGCCATTAACATTGCTGAAGAAATTATCTTAAAAGTGAAGGTAATAAGCACTTAAAACTCATCACTTCCTATTTATCTTACTATATTTTATTACTCTGTATGCTCTTGCGGTTACGTTATTTCATTCATATGATGGAGATACTATGTAATTGTGTGGCTTTTGCACATCTTTTTCTTGCTTTGTATATGGTGATATCTCATTATAGAGCAAAATTGGCTATGGTTGGAGTATCCACAACATGGAAGTGAGCAAACATGAAAAATTAGGGATTGAGTTATTATTTTCTAAATTATGTAGACGAGTGGTTCTCAACCTTCCCAATGCCGCAACCCTTTAATACAGTTCCTCATGTTGTGGTGACCCCCAGCCATAAAATTATTTTCGTTACTACTTTATAACTGTAATTTTGCTACTGTTATGAATCGTAATGTAAATATCTGATATGCAGGATGTATTTTCATTGCTACAAAGGGGTCACGACCCACAGGTTGAGAACTCCTGATCTAGATGTATAAATGTTATAATAAAAACATAAATAATGTAAATTAAATTTTAAAAGTTTAGTATATCTATAGCTATACGTTGGGAAAGACCTCAAAATCCAAGGAAATAATGTTCCAGTATTCAAAAAATGCTGTATGATTTAGGAAACAAGTTACATCATTTATGAACAAGTGAAGTTCTGATTACATCTATTAATTTTCATTTTTTTCTTTAATGTAAACAAAATTTCAATCAATTCATTTCAGAACTATACTTACTTATTCATCAATGAATGACCAACATCTTTGCTGATTCAGATGATCATTAAGCATTTCTCTATAGTCTGTTTTTGTCAAATTATGGTTGAATTGCTACAGATACAAAAATGTGGCAAAATTTAATGAAAGCCTTCTGTCAACATCAATAGGCTGTTTGTCATTTACAATAAATATTAAGTATTATTTTAATTATCTGCTATACATCTCTTGTGTCAGGAAAATTTGTAATTTGTGTGTGTGCATGTATGTATGGTTTTTGTGTGCTTGCTTGCTTTTATTTGGTGGTGAGGGAGTTATTTGTCATTTACCAAGATAACACTTGAAGAGGGTCACCTGACTAAAAATTAGTAATGAAGTGACACCCATCTGCTAGAATCATGGTGCCGTGGTAGAGAGAACACATGAAAAAAATATGCTGACCTCTTTCTCTTTCATTGGGAAAATGCAACCAGAGGCAGAGAACAGGGGGATCCTAAGTAGGGGTGAGATCTCTAGGGCACTGAACATGCCAGAGAATGACTCTTAGGTGATACTAGGGGCAAAGAATGAAAGGTTATTTAGCAAATAACATTTACCATTTGGTGGTCTGAATATGTACTTCACTATGCAGTAATGGTTTCTAGGCGGAAATGTGTGCCATTTACCAAGATAATACTTGAGTAAGTAAAGATGTATTTGTTGGAGAATATCTCGTACTGGTCCTCCCCAAATTTATGTCTACCTAGAGTCTCTGAATGTGGCACTATAGGGTCTTTGAAGATGTTATGTACTTAAGATCCCTAAATCCTTTATGACTCTTAGCCTTATAAGAAGAGAAAGAGACAGATGCACAAAGGAACGAAGAGAAGATGGCCATGGAACAACAGAAGCAGAGGTTAGAGTGATGCAACTACAAACCAGGGAATGCCAGGGATTACTGGCAGCCAGCAGAAGCTAGGAAGAGGCAAGGAATTATCCTTACCTGGAGCCTTTGGAAGGATGACCGTGTGGACACATTGATTTAGACCTTCTGGCTGCCAGACTATATGAAAATAAATTTTTGTTACTTTAACCTGCCCAGTCTATGGTACTTTCTTACTGTAGTCCTAGAAAACTAATACAGGGGCCAAGTTAGATTTTGGCCATGGTAAGTACATAGCGTTTGCGGGACATTCAGATGAAGAATGGCCGTGTAAGTTGGACCTGCGTGTCAGCAGCGTAGGAGAAAGGCCTCAGTTGGACACAAGGTTTTGAGAACTTGTCAGCATATCAAGGGTACTTATAGCCATGAAAATGGATGTATGTACAGTAAGATGTAAAAAGAAACTGAACATTACATAGGGAAAGAGACAGCAAAGTTGTGAAAGAGCATGTGATAAGTAGTGGGATGTAAACTAAAGAAGAAGAATTTCAAGGGCAAGGAAATAGTCTTATTGCATTCCACAGAGAGGTCAACTGAGATGAAGGTGAAAGAATATTCATTGCATTTTACTTTAGGAAGGAAGTAAACCTGAAGAGGCCCCATCTTTGGAGAATCCCTCACAGGAGTTTCCCCTTTTGAATTTTTCGATGTTTCTCTGGAGGCTGTGAGGATGTAGAGCTACAAAGAATTAGCTACCTCTTGGGGGTGGAACACAACTATAAGAGGGACATTACCTAACAAATGTAATCGGTATAACCTAATTCTTTGTGCCCTTAATGAACCTTAAACAATAAAATGAATGAGTAAAAAGCTGGCCGGGCTTATGCCTGTAATCCTAGTACTAGTAGGCCAAAGTGGGATGATTGCTTGAGCTCAGGAACAAGACCCTTCTCTACTAAAAATTAAAAAATAAAAAAATTAGCTGGGCATCGTGTGGGCACTTGTAGACCCAGCTATTTGGGAGGCTGAGGCAGGATTGTTTGAACCTGAGAGTTTGAGGTTGCTATAAGGATGATACTGTGGCACTCTGGCCTATGCTTGTGAGCTATGGCCTGAGTCTTAAGACAAAGTAAGACTCTGCCTCAAAAAAAAAAAAAAAAGCTGAAATTTTTGGAGATACTTCCAACATCTGTGTGCTGGTAGATATGAATGTGTGAAACTTAAATCTCATTGATGAATTCTAGTTCTAGAAATAAATACAGCATTGATGTTATTACATCAGTAGTATAGGTGGTATTTATAACTTAAGAATGATGAAATATGGAACAATAATCATATGAAGATTTTTACTGGAAATTTTAGAATGTTGATTTAAGTAGTATAGCACTTCTGAAATAATGTTTCTTTTTAGTCATTGCCTAGGAATAAGCAATGATTCGTCTCATTACTTTGTGACTATTTAGACACCCCGTGAAGTGGCCCAGCAGGCCGTGGATGCAGATGTGCATGCTGTGGGTGTGAGCACGCTCGCGGCTGGCCATAAAACCCTGGTTCCAGAACTCATCAAAGAGCTTAGCACCCTTGGACGGCCAGATATTCTTGTCATGTGTGGAGGGGTGATACCACCACAGGTATTTTCCATATCTCACATTGTTCTAGTACTTTTTCCTGGGTAAAGATAGCTTATATGTAGTTATAAAAATAAATTTGTTTTCTATTTAGGGCCTAATTATTCTCTGGTGATTTCACTAAGTGAATCCTACAAAGTCCAGAAGTAGGTAGTGTTTTCTTCTGTGTGAGCTATGTTGTAATTCACTGTGTATAATTTAACTTAAAAGTCTACAAAGGTTCTAGGAGAGAACTATCTCCTTGCAAACCAGTAACTAATGATAGATATCTACCTTCTTCATAGTCTATACAAGATGGAGCAAAAACAGGTTAAAATAATAAAACTTCATACCTTGAATAGAAACCATGGTAAACACGCAGGGATTATATCAAACCCTAGCCAGGGAATAGTGAGGACTCCTTGTCCTGGGGGCGGAGTGAGCTTGCTTCAGTTTTGGATGAGCTACGTTGTTCATTTCCTCCATGTTCCCCTCCCTAAATGCTGCCCTTAGAGGTATATCATTTCCATGGTCCTGTAAAACTACTTCATTACTTAAGCTAATTTGATTGGGGTATGATTTTCTTGAGCCAAACATACCTTAATGCAGACATGAAGGGAATCAGCTTGTCCTGAAAATTACAAGCTGAGTGGGGAAGAAGTATATACTCAAACAGAAACGAGAAATGGGTGCTAGGTAACCATGATATCAATTAATGTATCAATGAGGTAAAGAAACATCTACATATTATATTTCTGATCAGCTAAAGTAGTTAGTTAAGATGTAAATAGAATCTGTTTATTCTCCAGTTGTTAATTATATCAAGGTTTTCTTTTTCACTGAGAATGAAAAAAAATATTGAATTAGGACCATATGTGAGGCTGCTTTAAGTAAATGATTTATAGCTGTTACAAAGACCCCATGACTATAGCAGGAATCTGTCAGTGAAATGTTTCTAGTTCTACATTTTTTATTATCTCCATTACAATTCAGAATATAGAATAGTGAATTTATACACTACTTATGAAAGGAGAAAATGCATAGGTATGAGGTGGTAAAATTGGTCATAATGTGGGGCTCATGTGCTATTAGAAAGAAGATAAATAATATGCGTTTGATGTGATAGAGCCAACACAAAAGTCCTTTTGTTAACAAACTCGCCTATTATTTTCATAAATATAAATATATTTTTATATTTGGGAAAATAAAGGGCTATTATTCTTTACTGCAGTCTATCTACAGAACACTGCTATATATATTGCAGTTTAGAGTCTGTAATACCTAGATGTGATATTAAAATGTAAGAGCCAAAATAATTAGGCAGCAGAAAATATTTGAATCAAAATATGTGTTGAGAAAAAATGTAGGCCTGTTACATAAGTGACCTGACATTTTCAAGAAATATATTTCCATGCAAGTTGTTGTATTAACCTCCTGGATATTTGAATTACTTAGGAAATCTGTAGGTGTTTGCCATTCTCTTTTCCCCATGAGTTTAACAATTAAGGACAATTTTCAGTTGAATCTTTTTGTTAATATGAGTGTCCTTTATATAATATGGCAATCAATACCCTTTTGTTTTTCTTGTCATTTGCACTGAATTCAGTGGTTCTCAACCTTCCTAATGCTGTGACCCTTTAATACAGTTCTTTATGTTGTGGTGACCCCCATCCATAAAATTATTTTTGTTGCTACTTCATAACTGTAATTTTGCTACTACTATTATGAATCATAATGTAAATATCTGATATTCAGGATGGTCTTAGGTGACCC